AGCTTGCTTCTCCCTCTGACCCTCCCCCCTCTCATGTGCTCTCTCTCTCTCATTCTCTCTGTCTCAAATAAATAAATAAAATCTTTAAAAAAAAAAATTCAGAATACTGGTTATCTTTTGCGGGGAGAGGAGGGAGCAGAATGGGAAGGAAAAGGAGCACATACATTAGCAATACTCTAGTTCTTGGTTTGGTGACAGATCATGAATGTGCACAGGTCTCCATTATTAAGTTTTAAAGCACATTATGTACAGTTTTAACATGTGTGAAATATTTCATTAAAAGATAAGTAAAACATCCCCACGGAACTATTCATTGACATATTTATATGACATGCAAACACACAACACAGTCTCAAAGACAGACACATTGATCCATTGTACTTTGTACATTGTATAGACACACTGTACTTCCTTACAAAATGAAACAAATCTAAACACTTGATAGCCATATTCTCAAAACACACAAAGAAATATGAACACACACAAACAAACACATTCCTACACAATGACCCACATATATACCTACCAGGTCCTTAACCCACAGAGCGATATAGCTCCTAAGGGACTATAATACTGCACCACTGGGGAGCTGTGGGTGTTTATGGCAGCTAAACTGGTGGGGCCCCAGAGAGCAAAATCCCACTCCCACCCTTCCCCCCAACCCAAATCCCAGGTTTCCTGGGCACCCACCTGATTCCCGAGACACCATTTTCCGTGGGGTCAGCTTCTTGATCTGTGAAGAAGACAGTTATCAGAATCTGAAGAGTCTCTACATTTCTAGATCCACTGTCATTTAGGGGTAGCCTAAATGTCCACTGAGCACCACCACCCCCAACTTTGTCCAGAGTAGCCTGCCTGCCCCCCAGCCCCAACCTGAATGCCTGGCTCCATACTCACTGGGGGTGGGGGGAGCACAAAGTTGTCGGGGAAAACTCCTCTTCTGCCTTGAGACTCTCCTTCCCACCAGCCCTTATCCTCTGTGGTCTAGGAGAACAAGATACCATGGGGAGGTGAGCCAGATCCCCAAGCTCCTTCCTCTCCGGGTCCCATGGCTTCTCAACGTGCCCTTTCTGGTCACCTCCCCTGCCCTGTGCTTTCATACCTTCCTCAGTACTTTCACCTCGTCCCCCCTCCGCAGCGCCAACTCATCCGGGGCCTCAGGCTGGTAGTCGAACAGGACCCTGTAGATCTCAGGGCGAGAGACTGTAGCGGGGGTCAGTCCATCAAAGCCAACTCCTCTCCCCAGGTCAGGCGCTCCCTCCCCCATCAGCTTCGTTGAGTGTCCCCCTTCCCCAAGTCAGCTAGGCTCGCAGGAGGGGGTTCTGAGGAACCCTTTGGCTGGGTGCTCACCTGTCCGCAGGTAGTCTGGAGGGCTGTCATAGGTCAGACTGCTCAGCTAGTGGGGGGAAGGGGGAGGGAGGAACAAGCTGAGTCTCCACCCCTCCAAGAGGAACTCACCACGTCTGTGCCCACCGCACCCAATTTACCTTGGGAGGCCGCTGGGTACCAGGGCTGACTGAAGGCATGTCTGGGTTCCCGAGGCCTGGTGGGGACAGTGAAGTTAGGGGTTGTGCTAATTCAGTTTAGATCATGGGAGAGGTCAAAGGGGTCACAGGGTCAGGATGTGTGGATCACAGGCTCAGGCCACTGGGTGGGTCACTGGAAATTGCAGTCTGGTCACAGGGGTTCATGGGGTCACAGGGTGCAGGTCTCACTTGGGGGCCCACTGTCCAGCAACTCCACAAAGTTGGATGGGAAGGCTCCCAGCTGCCCGTTCTTCTTCCCCAGCCACCAGCCGTCCTCAATCTGGGGAGGAGGAGGACGCAAGGCCATCTGGTTCTGCCCCAAGTGTCTCTTGAGAATTCTTCCACCCGTATTTCTGCCCGGATTCTGCCCGATGCCCCCTCCTCCCTTGCTCTCTCACTTTCCCATTTCTGCGCCCCTCACCAGCCCCAACGCCCACACCCTCTCTTCACACATCCATCACCCACTGACTTGCTCCGACATCTCCGCCCAAAGCCTCTCATCACTTCGTCCCCTCACCTCCTTTATCACTTCCACAATCTCCCCAGCTTGCAGCTTCAGCTCGTCCGCCTGCTCCGGACTGTAGTTGAAGTTCACCTTGCACCATCTTTGGGGGCCCCGAGATTTGGCGGGGCGACCTGGGGTTAGACGAGAGAGAGGAAAGCCGCTGGAGCCGCGCGCCCCAGTCCGCGGAGTTGGGAGAGGGGTGGGCCGGGAGCGCCCCAGCAGGAGCTCCAGGCCACGCCCCAAGGCAGAGCATTGTACCCAAGAACCAATCACAAACCGCGGAGTGCCCGCGCGGCCTCGCCCAGAGCCGCGCCGGTCACAGCCTGCCTGGGGTGGCCGGAGCCGCGCAGACTCTGCGCGTGCACCCACCCGGCCTGGCGCTCACCTCGGCGGCGCGCACAGCGCGGGCTCGGCGCCTCTCCGGCGCCGCGCAGAGACTCCGGGATCTCCTGGAAATGAACGCAAGGAGATTTGCGCGGGGGAGGCGGCTCTCAGCTCCTGGGGGCACGCATTGAGACCCTCCTCCACCCGACCTGCGGCCCGGTCTTACCTGCACCAAGCGCTCGGGAAAGAGACCACAACGACCCCCCCGCTCTCCGCGCAGCCAGCCCCGTGAGGGCCCCTCGCACACCTGCCGGACCACGTACCCGGGCGCCAGACTCAGCTCGCCCTCCTTCTGCGCGCGGTACTCGGCCAGGACCAGCACCTCTGCGGGCAGAGGACGGGACGGGGGCGCAGCTCAGAGGGACCGGTCCGGGCACACTGGCTTAGGCGCGAGTCCCTGGCTCCGCGTAAAGGACAGCGGGAGAGCGGGTTGGTGGTGTAGGCTTCTGTTGCCTTTTCCGTCACCCCAAACCCTCTGCACATACCCATAGCTTCCAGGTCTCGCTCCAGAGCCAGGCTGGGAATATAGTGCTGTCCCGCAGGCAGCCGAGTACTGGGCCCGGGTAGGGTGGGACGAGCTGCGAGGTTGTGAAGCAAAGGAGGCGGAGACGCTAGCGGATAGGTCGGCCCCAGGTGCTGGGAGTGGGTGTAAGAGAGAGGGTGGCCCGGCTCAGCAGGTTTGGCCCCCAACCCTGGGATGAAGACTCCAGGGTCTCTGGCCAGTGCTGGGGCCACAGCTCCCCCACATGCTCTTCCTGGCCTAGTCACTTAAATTCCAGTCTAGCCGTCTCTCCTTCTCGCAGCCTTAGGCTCTGAGGTTCCCACCCATCGTTGGCACAAAACCTTTCCTGGTCTATCTTCTCCCCGCTGGCAAGCTTGGAGCTACGGGAGAAGAGGTGGGAGAGGCGCATACCAGGGTGGGGCCCCCAGCAGGCAGCGACTGCTCCGAGGCAGGCCCTGGGTGGAGGGGGCGGCTGTTCTTGGGCGCACACAGCTACTGCTGTGCTCTGCTTTTCCTGCAAGGCACCATCTCCCTATAACCCCACCCCAGGTCACAGGAGGAGTGCAGAGGCCCCTGCTTCCGGTCACCGGGCTGTTTGGCTTCATAAAACACATCCAGATTCTCCTTGGGAAAGGGCAAGAAAAAGGAACTTTAGGAGCTTTCAAGGCTCCTGCTCACAGCCAAGGCCAGAGCCGGCAAGGCCTTAAAGTTTAGGGCCCACCCTGGCTGGACTCTCTGGTAATCTTTCTGCTCAGTGGTGAACACAGAAAGCTGAGCCTGTTATCCACGACACTTGACCTCTGCCCCACCACTTTGGAAGCCAAGTCCTTGCCCATAAAAACCACAGTGAAAGAATCTGGTTCTCTTAGGGTGTCCAAGGTACAGGATGAAGTAAAACCATCAGGGTGGCAATGAGTTATTAGCCAGCAAAGGGTGGCCCAGTCTCCTCCCAAACAATTGAGCATGGCACTGATAAGGATGGGACTAAGCAACAGCCTCGGTGAAAGCCCTGATAGTTTTGTCTTTCAGGTTTCTTGAAGCTGCTACAGTAGATACCTCCCCCCCAAACACACACACACACACACACGCGCGCGCGCGCACATACACACAACTAAGGGTGACAATGACCAGAGTCCATTTACATCTGCCTTCATTTATTTATTTATTTGCAGGAGGAGTTGAAACAAATTTTAAGGGTGTTTTCATTTTTTTCCCCCTAAACATGAATCATTCAAGTAAAACCAACTTAACTATAGAAATGTAGCAAAGTAAGGGGAAAGAAGCACAACAACCCAAGAGGCAAAGGTTGGGGAAGGGAAGAGGTGGGTGCAGTCCGCATATAACATATGCATAAATGCTATATGATTCACCTGCTCAGGACCGCCTCCCCAGAAGGCAAGCACAAGGACCCATTTTAAGAGGATGTTTTCCCCCCAAACATCCAAGAATGTTTCAACTTAAAGCTTAAGGTTAAAAAAAAAAAAACGAAAAGAAAAAACAAACCCCCACAAACCACCCAGCCATAACCACCTTCCTTAATCGATCATAGGAGTTTCTTTTCATTTTATAAAAAGATTAATAAAAAATATTGAAAAAATTATTTTCTCATCTTATATTTGTAAAGATAATAGAATTCAGAAGTTTCTTAGAAAACAGACCAGAAACTGCCATCCAGTTTCCACCCCTGTTGCTGAGAGGATCAGCAGGACTACAAAGTTTGGGATACTGGAGCTGCTGGTGGAGAATGGGATGCCCAGCCCAGAAGAAATCAGAAAATATTGGGGTGGGGGGGCATGTGGGGTGTGGTCAGCAGCCACGGGATACATGGCTGTGCAGAAAAGGGGAACACAAGGTGGTCAGAAAGGCCTTGAACTCCTCCTCGACATACAAAACCGATTTTTACAAAGATCCAAGCAGTTTGGTCCCAAACTGAGGTGAACACTTCAATGTTTATTCACATGCTTTGTTTTCTCTTTGAAGAATCAAAGTTGCCCAAATTAAATCTTTCTGCTATTATTACTACATATGCCTAAAAAAAAAAAAAAGAAAGAAAGAAGGGCTTTTAAAATCAGGATAAGGGAGAAGAGACTGAAAATCATCAAATTAGTCCTCTTAGCTCCAAATGAAAGTAAGAACAAAACTGTTGGTTTCTAATAGGGAACAAAGCAAAATCCAAGTATCGCTCTCCCCTCCCTACCCCAGCCCCCACCCCACACACCAACAACAAATGAGAAACACAGCTAAAGCCCAATGTGTTGTGTTCTGCTCAAGAGCCGGGCCTGACCCCAGGCTCCTCGGCCGGCCGCCTCTGTCCAGTGGGACGCAGCGCCAGGGATGCTTTCGGCTGTAATAGGATTCTGTGCGGCTGGCTGGTGGGGGGCAGGGGTGGGATTTTTGCAATCTTGAGGCTCCTCTGTTTTGCTCCTCACCAGCCATCTTCCCAGCGCCCTCTCTCCCCTGGGCAGGGACTCCCACCAGAGTGGCCCCTACTCAGTTGTGGGCTGTAAATTGTCCTTCTCTTCTCGGTTCTCTGTCCCACTCTCGTCGTCTTCAATCTCCCCTTCCTCCCCACTAAACTTGTCGTGGGCCCATTTGGGGCTGGTGCTGGACTTCCGGAACATGAACCGGCCTCGACCCCGGGGGAAGGCTCCTCGGCCCCGGCCCCGGCTCACCCACTTCTCACTGCCTTCACCTTCACGGTCATCATGCTGAGAGAAAAGAAAATGGCCATCAATCCCAGAGTGAACAAGAGTAGCCAAAGCCCTCTTTTCATCCAAATGTGACTTTCTCAAACCAGCCTTTTGCCCCACCCCACCTTCTGTTCCTTTTCTGTCCTCCTCCCGATCCCCCCTACTCCAAAAATGCTACTGATTCAGATCCAAGAGAATATTCCATTGGGTGCCTTAGGAATTCTGAGGCAGTAGCCTGGGCATTACAATGATGATGAAACCTTCACTGAGCCCTGAAAGACCTTCACCTGCATTATCTCATTTAATCCTGACATCTACCCTCTATCATCATCATCACCCTCCACTCTGCATCCCAATCCTGCTCTGATGATCACACGAGAGAGAAGGGCTCCAATGAGAGACTGAGTGAGAATGCACTTTGAAAACTAGAAGTTGTTACCTCGTCAGCACCATGGCTTCAAAAACTCTAAACCATCCCAAGTAGGACCTCAGGCTCCGGGGATCAACTCAGCGAGAGGGCCAGCTGCTTCCTGCCAGGGCTGCTCGTTCAACAGCCTAAACGCAGGAGGCCAACAATGCTCCGAACTTCAGGTGGCAGATGGGCACAGGGAGAAGGACTCAGATGGCCTTTACCTTCCCCCCCGTAGCAGTGCCACTCCAGCACCTATCCTGGGCCCTGCCAACTTTTCCCTAAGATGCGGGTGTGCAAGGGCCCCCTAGGAGGCTCAGAGCAGCTCCCAGCTTCCCCAGAAAAGCGAAGGTAGCTGTGCAGTCGTCTACAAAACCCGAGTCCCAGCCGTGCAGCTGACGATACAGACCCGTGCCAGCCCTTCTCGGGGGTGATGGAGTCTCAGTTTCAAGTTTACCTTGGTTACAACACCCAGAGTCCCATCTGCTTGGACCTGAGGAGCCCCAACCTCACGTGAGGGAGGGAGGGAGGGAGACCCAGAAAGTGCCTGCTACCTAGGAGTGACCAACAGCTCAGACGAGAGAAGCCCCAGTGACTCATTCTGGAGACAGAGCCCCTCCCTCAAAGAGATCCTGAGCTGTCTTTTCTATCTTGCACTAGGGAGTGACAGAGTGAACTGCGGACTCAGGGGAAGGCCATGACTCCATCCCTGGATGAAGGCTGGACGGCGGCCGAGGGGGGATTAGCTATCAGACAAGCTCACAGACTCAAAAGGCCAGAGCAACCTTTCTCGCGCATCCTGGATTCATACAGCTCTGAGGCCAGGATACTGCCTTGCAGGAGAACACTCCTCTGGCCAGCACCACGTGGGCCCACAAGTACACAGCCCCCCAGCACAGTCCGCCTGCACACACGTTTAATCACAGCTCGGGACAGACCAATGAAGCATCGGTATCAGCCACGCTGTGTGCCAGAGGCGCTCTGGCCCTTCCTGGTTATCCCAGACACATACCAGGTAATACTTCTTGCTTTTGGGCGTGTACTCGGGGTCCCACTCCTCCTCCCGGTTTCTCTTTTGAAAATCGTTGTTGCTGTTGTTGTTGTTGTTACCAGAGTAGGAGCCTCTGCCCCAGCCTCTCCCTCTGGCTCGAAATTGCTGTGGCATAAATGGGGAAAAGGAACAAAGGACTGAGTCAGGAGTGGAGAAAAACCACTCCCTGCCTTCGGCTCAAATACTTTTCTGGCTCAGAACAGATAGCGGTCCTCTAGTCAATCTGCTGGTCAACTGGATTCTAGCCGTTCCCTTTCTGCTCCAGTCTGTAGCCCAGGCAGAGGGACACATGGCACAAGGCCCTCCCTACAGACACAGCAGCAGTCAAGCTAAGGGGGGAAATTCGGAGGTCAGAAGCCCCGAGAGGCTTTCTAGGTAAGTGATTATGAACAGAAAAATAACTAAAACCAGAAAGCTTGGGGAAGAGGGGTACAGATTCTGGGATGTAGAGCCTAGATTACTTGCAGCAAGGGCAACAAAACTAGTAATCTGGTAATCACATAACTAGAGTTGGGAGGAGCAGGGAGAGGGGGCAGGATCTTACGAAGGTCCCTCGAGCTCTGCCGCCTCTTTCACTTGGACCCACGAAGTCTTTGGTCCCTAGTCTTGACTTGTCAAAGCCCGTGGTGCTCTCTTCCCTCTCCTCCGTCTCTTCAGTGTACTCTTCCGCTTTATAGGAGTGGGATGACTGGGAGGAAGAGGAGGAGGACCTGGACCGATCTCGTGCTCTCCGGTGCTTCCTATGAAAACAGAAAAGCCAGGGATTTAAATCACTCGACCCTAGAGGACAGCCCTTGGCTGGGACCTCACTGGTAAGGTGCACAGGACAATCAGGAACATTATCTGTGGTAAGAAGACACTGAAGACGAGTAACCTCAAAACTCGCCCCCACCTTAGCCACCCAGGTACCC